GAAGCATAAATTTAAGAGGCACCACCGTGCTCATTCTTCTCCCCGAAGGGACGTTTACTCCAGAGATCGGGAGTCCTCCCAAGGGTTGGGGAGCCCAGCTCAAGGGCGGTCCTCCTCTCGGACCTGTTGGTCATGCAGCGCAAGAGCACTGCCCAACAAACGGCTCTGCAGGGACTGCCTTAAACAGGCAGCGCAGGATAAGCACCATGAGGCAAAGGAGGTGCGTTCCTATATTCAGAAGGCAGTTTCCCAAAGTATGCGGGAGTTCGGCCACTCCAGGCCTTCGACTTCAAGAAGGCGGTTGTCTAGTGCCTCGGAGGAGGAGGAGGGGGAGCTCCCATCGGGCCAAATGGCTGATCCATCCTCAGCGGAAGATACGGTCAGTGGGACCGGAGGAACCCGCATACACATTCGATTTTGCCAAAGAGCCAGGAAAACGGAAAATTGTATACTTACCTTCGGTAATTTTCCTTTCCTGGCTCCTCCTCATGTCAGCCGCAATATTTCCCCCCCATTGACCGTCGCGAGTGAGCTGGATATAGAACACTGGTCTATGGTAAGGGACCCTCTTTTAACTGCTATGAGGGTGGTCCTGTGGGGGGTCAGGAGGGCGGAGCTGACCCATCGTAGGCTGACATGAGGAGGAGCCAGGAAAGGAAAATTACCGAAGGTAAGTATACAATTTTCCGTTATATATACACACACATACATACACACACACACACACATATATATATATACACACATATATATTTATTAGGGATGCACCGATATATCGGCCGAAAATTGCACTTTTGGCATAATGCCAAAAGTGCAATTTTCCTGCCGATACATGGGCGCATCCCTGATTCCTTTCCTCCCCACTGAGCGCTGCTCTGTCCCAGCGGGGAGAAGAGAAAGTGACAGCCAGCCGAGTGCTGCGAGCGGCCGGCGTCTCCTCCCACACCGCTCTGCCGCCCATCACAGTCCGGCAGAGCGGTGTGTGGGCGGAGACAGCCTTGTCACAGGAGGCTGGGCTTTCCTCTCTATACCGCCAGATCAGCCTCTATACCGCCAGATCTGTGACAGCGTGTCAGAGAGAAGTGCAATGTACACACACTCAGCGATTGCTGAGTGTGTGTACATAATTGAGAATATGGTATGTTAACTATATCCTCAATTATGAATGAATGGGAGTTTCCCAACAATGACGTCAGTAGATCTGGATGAAATTTGCAACTAATGCGCAAGTATCCAATGCTTATGTGAACACCATGTTATTTGGAATGTTTAATGATTGGAAACCTGTGAATAAGTTGTTACTTTAAGCTTTACCATTCACATTACATAAAAGTCACACAGTGTGCCTGTTGCAATGCCCTTAAAGTGACACAAAACTCAGAAGGTAAAATCTTAACTTTAACAGAAGTTAAATCTTGAAAATGCATTCAAGTACCTATCCAAATTCATGCTGACACTTCTTCCTTCTGGAGGGTGGCTACTTTTGTTCCCCATGGTCCCTGTGTGTTGTAAAGTAGCCATCGCACCAAGTTCGCTCCTTTGAATTTGTATTGAGATGGTAGTCCTTCACTGGAGCGAGCTTGGAGCGGTGGTTACTTTACAACACATTATCATTACAATATTCTTGTATAGAAATCTACTCAGAGCTGGCTGGATGCTACATATTACTAACTGCTGATTCTTGGACTAGTGCTTCCATGCCAAGATTTCACATTTCTCTTGTTTAGGGCCATAGAGTTACTGCTACAGTTACAGCCTGACAGCAATGTGATACCTCATATGTCGTACTCATGGTTGGCTTGTACGGTACATGATTTGCACGTCTCAGTTCTTTTATTGTTTCTGCAGGCATGGATTTGGAGAATCCCAGTCCACTCCAAGTGTTTGTTGGAGTTCTGACTTCTGTTACTACAGGTTTCTTCAGCATTGCTGTGTTAGGGAAGAAAAAAAAAAGAAGGACTGTTGTATTATAGAATTGCAATTAAAATATACTGTTTCACCAGTTTGAGTGTCCTGGTACATTTTTAACTGTACAAAAAAAAAAGGCAATTATAACCCCCTTAATTGCAATCTTGCAACTTCAAACTCCAAAATAACCCAATGATGAAAACTGCAAAATTAAAAATTGCTAAAAACATCCTTAAAAATCCTGTGTACTAGATATTTTCTTATGTTAGTGGAAACATTTGCTAAAGGAGTTTTTGTGAAAGCTTTTTCCACCCTTCCTTTCTGCCATCACCACCCACCATATTGTGGTGCATTGTGGTCTCCTAGTTTTCAGACCTCACTGACAACAGCTGCTGGTCTACACTAGCAATGGGGAACCAATGAAAGCCAATTGTGGTAATCGCATTAATTTACAAAGTCTGGAATTATGACAGCAGAATTTAGCATGCTGCAGCAGCCATTGTGCAATGCAGTCAGTCAAAAAATGTAAAAAGTTAAAATGTTTTAATTAAAAACTGTTTAAAAATGTTACAAATATTAATGATACCAATTAAAACAGTGTACCAAAAAAAACCTTCTATAATAACGTAAGTTTGACAAATTAATCAGTAACTATCATGTTATCCAATGCATACTAGCACAGCTATATTTAGTCTGAACATTGGGGTTTAAATTGCTTCTGTTCACATTTTACTTTTTAAACCATTAATTTATAAAAACACCATCTATTTAACTCCATGAGGATATCGCCTTTTAAAAACAGCACATGATAAATGATTGTTACAATGAACAAATTTAAATATTACTATTGTATACATTTTTGTCCACATACCTTTTGTTGCCAGCAACTTCTTTTGCTCATAATCATAGGCCTAAAAAAAAAAATATATATATATATATAATTTTCTTTCCCAACTTATAAGACATTGTCTCATTACCTATAACTTACACTGGCACTGCAGCATTGTCTATAATACATAACATTTGGTTATTGTACATCTAGATAGATGAAGCTTTCCTGGCCTTCCTGGTGAGGTTTTTGTAGAAGATTAATATACATTACACCACTGCACAATGTACCTAGATGAATACTTTAAAGTTAATTAAATCGGCTTTATATTGGGGGATCTTAGCAGCAAAACCAAAGATTAACAGTTGAATCTATTTACTCTAGTACCAGTTCCTTAGTTAAAATGCACGTGGAAAAACAGATTTTCATAAAAAGCTCTTTTTCTTCTAACCAGTCTGGCGTAGATCAAATTTGAGCATTGTGTAGCCCTGGCGGCACCGTTACATTCAACAAAAGTCAATTTATCAATCAACTTTTGTCATAGAAGTCAGCTTGATTATTTTCAGCCGAACAGTGACCAGAGCGAATTAGCTGCAGTCCCTGTTCGGATATTCTGACATACAATAGCTTGACGGGGAAGAGTGCCACATCCACGCTAAACAGCATATTTAGGTGTATGGACAAATTAAGTTGTCGATGTGGAGATTAGGTGCTGACCAGACTTTGCAGGAGTTGATTACTTAAACATCACTTTAAATTGCTCACTGATGTTATGGTGGGGGGTACAGCCGATCTGTCTCAAGTCAATCTTACAGGTGCTTTCCCTACAGTCTTCTTTGGATTTACTAACAATTCACTTGTTGACTTCAAATAAAGTCCATCATCTACAACCTAATAGTAAGGACTAGGAATCTATAACTTGTTTCTTTCCTGCAACCTTTCCCATTAACAGTCACTGTATTCAAATCCCAACACGGTGTAGAGAAGTAAATGAGCAAAGAATATTTGACTTATAGCGAATATAAACAATGGTTATTGTGCACACCTACTGGTTTGTTTAGTAACTTTATCTACAATTTACACTGAAGTTACCCACAGATTTCCCAGTGCACACATACATGCTCTTATCCAATGGCCATATAGACACATTTCCACAGTTAGTGAAAGGGAAAATGGCCAAATCATTTCCAATTCGTAAAACCTTTTTCTGTGAAACATGTGCATGAGGGTCATCTGTTGCTTGGTAAAACTGTTACCCATATGTGCACAAATGGCAGCCATCCAATGTCTGAGTAGCTTTAATGTATCCATAAACATAATTGCCTAAACAAACAGCTTTTGGCCAGATGATCTTCATGTCTATGGCTACTACTAAACCTACAAGGTTCTCTCAGGGACAACAGTTTGGATTTTTTTTGCCCATCCTTCTTGTTTTCTATACCAGTCCTCTGTCCTCTTGCTCTCCACCAAACTAGAAGAAAACATGCACAGCTATGCATCAAAAAAAAAAATCTCTAGGAGGCTGCATTGTGTAGGTCAATCATCTAATTTTTTAAGGGAAGCAGTAAGGATAGGGCAGTTTCTCCAATAAACAAAAGGAAATGGTCATAAGGGTGTGGATTTTTAAGGCAACAGAGGAAGGAAGAGAGGTACCGTGACTAGATGCTAAGGAAAACAGCAGCAGTTGGCCAATATTTAGTTTTAACCGCTCAACTGCTTTGTACCCCAAGAACACAAATACAAGGCTGTCTTGTCTTTAGCTGTTCCATAGACACCAAGGGGGTTATTCAAAAAAGGGGTGAAGAGTTTGGAGAAGGCAGGAGAAGTAAACAATCTAGGACAACATAACTCAACTGGAGAGTTGAATTTGAGAATTTTTCCAAATCAGCTATTTTGGCCTAGATTGTTCACTTCTTCTGCCTTCTCCTAACTCTTCACCCTTTTGTGAATATCGCCCCAAATCCTCACCTGATCCAGACAAAAAAAGATACCAGACATGGAATCCAAGATCTATGGGTAGCTGTAGAAATATACACAATTAACCTTCAAGTGCTGGTGATGGAGGTAAAATAGGAGATTACCGACTAAGTTTACTTTTCTAAAACGTTTCCTGGAACAGCCATATTTAGGGCGTAACATGAAACATGGTCACATCCCAAACCCCACACCCCTAACTTGCCTGAATCATAGGGAGGGTTCTCCTCGCAGGCTGTTGTAATTTGTATTTGGTGTGGCTGTGTGGCTTTGTCCACACAACTGCGACATCTATCCACAGATCCATTCAGAAAACTGAATGAGCTGTGGCAGAGGGATTTGTAGTTCTCAGTAGTGCATTGATACTTCCTTCCATTCCCTTATTGGAAACTCCACTTGCTGATGCAGATAGGGGCATAAGTCTGCAGGAGCCTGAGCATTGCATATGCGATACTCCACATGGAATGAGTGTGTATTTTTTTTCAAAATGCTGGACTAGACTATGCCTGTAAGGAACTGCATTTGCAAAAAGGGTAACTATCTGAAAACATGTTATGGAGAACCTATCTATGCCTGCCTAAATACATAACTGAACTGGTGGAAATGTCTTCAGACGTACTTATTTCTTCTTTGTCTTGTACATAATTGCAATAGCTTGGCAATTTTTGTGTCCAAGGATCCTACCGACTGAGATAAGTTAAGGGGGAGGATCTAAATAAAAATAATTACCTGCATATTTGCAAAAGATTGTAAATCAAGTCGTACCCTCTCGGAGTTTTGCTGGGCTGCTCGTTCAGCTGCTCGCTCACTTCCAGGAGCCTTCTTGTCAGTGACAGGGCCATCCGCTGGGCTCATCTCTGAATCGGAGAGTAACCTTTCGCTACTACTGTAAGAAGCAAAAGAATTAAAAAGTATATTAAACATAAATCTGGGTTGAATTTGAGTTATACATTTCCAGGCCACGTTTAATGAGCCAGTGCCTACGGCCACTGTTCTGTACATCATAAAACCCTAATTTCCTAGTTTTACCTAAAGGCTTATAAAAAAATAAAAAAAATAATGCAACAGGACTGCCCCTCTTAATAGTAGGCACTGCCCTGTGTGCCATTTACACATCCATTAAGACACGCAAATATCTCAAAAAGGTTTATTACACAGAACAAAAATAGTGTGTAAAATACAGTAAACAAGAGCAGCCAATTAGCAGATGTCTATAAAAGTAACCCAAAGAAGCCAAATCACCAATCCTCTTTCAATCAGAGCAAAAAAGTCAAATCCTAGTGGTAGCTTTGAAAATCATAACCTCCGTCTTCAACACTGTGTTGATAAAGAGGAACATAAAAAAAACATTCCAGCCAGAACTTACTGTAGGTGGGAGTTCTTAGTGCCTTGTAATAATTCCACTGTCTGCCTCTTAGCGCAGGGTGCTTTGGTTGAACTCAGCATCTGTTTGAGCTCATTGGTATTTGCTGAGTGAGACGGACTTCTTGGCATCCCTACTTCCACAAAGGCATCATTACCACCTACAAAATAAATAAATAAGAAAAAATTAATATAAAAAAGGTAAAACAACTGGGGTGGTAGATGATGATGATGGTGATGGTGGTGGTGATGGTGGTGGTGGTGGTGGTGATTGCACTGGGCAGCAATGTAGTAAAAATAAGTTTGCCTGTACGTTTCATTTGTTTTGTATGGGTCTTGCACACATTTTTCTCCAGCACACTACATTTTATTTTTTCCCCAAAAGGATTTAGTGATTTTCATTGCAGCCGATTTGTTACCAAACGCTTTATACACAGTGAAGGGCACAAACACAAGACCACCCTCATTGTCCTCTTACACTGCTTTATAGACTATACTGTAGCTGGACAAAGACTGGGACTTTATTACTATTTTCTGTGATCCTCCTAACAAATAGTCAAAATTGTTGTATATTTCTCTATACTCAGAGGGCAATATACAACTATTCTACCCACAGACACATTGATAGGTTAGGCCCAGTCTCAGAAAAGATGAGCGCATGGAAATATGGAAACCCCACAATAAAGAGGAACTTCTTTAACGCACCTTCTGAGTCTGACTTTGTGTTTGTTTGGACAGGTGAGCTGCGATTGTTTGATGGCCTAGCTGTCTCAGGAAGGTGTGAGTTTATCACTTTGTCTCCCAGCGATGGCATGGATATTGAGCCATATTTGTTTGACTGCTGCAACAGTAAAAACATGTAAGAATAATAGATGCTACACATACTAAAAAAAAAGCAGAAAGTGTTGTTACAGCTCACACTGTGGATGAATTAATGAGCAAGGAGATCAGCAAATAACATAAGAACATCTAATACAATATACAGATAAAATGAAGGGTTTCAGGATTTTAGGACTTCGTGGTCACAATTTATTACAGTCCTCAAGTGAGATCACATTATCCATTCCATGTTTTCTACGTGTTCCATATGTCATATTTGGCAAACGCAGAGTTGTACACACAAGTCAGATGACTATAATATGATATTGACCATTCAATTCCTTGGAAATACTGAAAGCACAAGCAAAGGGGGTGCAGGTGATGCCCTTTGCAGACAATGAGGAACACCACTACTTTCTTTTATGAACATTTTTGGTGAAGAAAGGCAGGACAAGTACAGGGAAAAACAGCCAAGATGGGTTCAAAATGTTCTGTGTAAGAACAGCCCATTCAAAAGAACAATCGCTGAACATGCAAAACAGAAACAAAAAAACAGGAGTTTCTGCAAATGCTGGTCTTGTTTTGAGCATCTTTTGGGGAGATCAGGAATTTATGATCAACATACTGTAAGTGCTCTTCATCATACAGCAATTTTCTAGTTTCTTTATTGAGATGTTAAAAGCATATGCAGCCCCTGTTGGCATGGTTGCAAAGTTCATAAAACAAAACCAGTAAACATCAAATGTACAATAACCAAGACCTACTTTCACGTGACCATTTAATGCTGATGTGGCTTTCTTGCATTCAGAGTGCATGCCATTCATGTGTACATCAACTGGTGTTAGTCCAGGAGGAGGCGATGGTGTATTTTGGCCATAGTTGGGCACTCCAGACAGCAGAAAGCTAGTCAACGTAGCTTGTGCAGCAGATGGCATCATCATATGTGGTATTGCAGAAAACCCTAAAAATTAACACACATTTTTACTAATACCAATGATTTAATTACAATAAATCCATTTCAATCTGTCATTTCCAGCTAATGAACAACCAGCAATGTCACAAGGACTTCACTAATGCATCAAACTCATGTTGGTTTTGGATTATACCAACCAGATTTCATATGCCATTACCCCATCATCTAGCTGGTCCTCGTGGAGCATTACAGACCGTCTTTATTTATACACTAAAAGGACCAACTCTGAACCAAAAGAAAATGAATGTTATTATAAAAAAAAAAAAAGTTGCTGCTTTAGCTGATCTATGCATTATTAATAAGCGTATGAGAAAATAACTTGCTAGTTTTGGAGTGAGGAAGACTTTTTCCATTTTGAAAAAAATTAAATCTAAAAGCCACTTCATAAGATCTAACCATGGTTCAAAAATACAGGAAGAGAAAGGCTGAAAAGTATGAACTTGATAACCAAGTAATTTTGGTCTAGAAAACATATTACAATTTGGATTAGCATGACTAACTCTCTATCTCATCTTACAGCACGTTATATGTTTAACCCCTGTGTTCTTTATCCAGAAAGGAAACAAGCATAAGGCAACCTTCTTGAATCAGTTTCATGGCTTGCAGACTTATCTGTGCAAGAGCAGCCCATTTTAAAACATAAAACATGCCCTTGCATCCAGACTTAGGGAAACCTGGATTCCAGTCTGCTTGGCAACACAGGACCAATTTCCATCTTAAACACAATAACGGCCAGAAAAAGAAAACATTTCCCAGGGTGGGTTAGAACTGCAACCAATAATTATGTCTAAAGCCATACAGGCATATCTAAATGGAAACTGGAGGAATTTAAGAAACTGCAAAATAAACTGAACAATGTTTGACCCGTTTCTTTTTTCAGAGGACTGGAAGAGTATGGAAAGAACACTTAAAAGCAAAAAATGTCATATTGCCATAATATACAAGTTTACAGTTTTGTTGGTAATTATGTCACTTGTTTAATGAGTTTGGATTTCATGCATACTTGGATTTAAAAACCATTGGCCATGGATCTATGAAAGATCATATGATTTTATGAAAAATTATGGAGAGAATTGTTCCATTGCAGGATTTTTTAGTAGGCCTACCAGTGCCAAGCACTTGGCCTTTTGACTGCAGTGGCAAAGACTTGAAAGGGAGACCAGATAAAGGGGTTTGTGTTATCTGTTTGAGAGAGAGTCAGATCAAAGTTATTAGATGTCCCAAGAACTGCCTTGTAAGAAAACATGAATAACTGTTTTATTCCCCAGGTTCAGATTTAGGTTACTGGTTTTTCTACCATTGCTAATGGATTGGGTGACCCCATTTGCCAAGCAGCATATATGCATACCTGCAAGATCTCAGTGTTGAAGAAAAACTGCTTCTGTTTCCCACTGTACCCAATCAGAAGCCTCACTTGACTTTCCTCCCCCTAACCCCCCACCCCTGTTCCCCTTGTACTAACAAAATGAGAGCTGGAATTGATTTTTCTAATTAGCCTGTGCCACCAGAATGTAATTTCAGATGAAAGCTTAATGCTATCATCAAGCTACTCTTATAAGGTTTAAGGTTCATATTACCTGGAGCACTGGAGGCGTTGGCTAATGAAGCTGCCCAAAGTGTTGGGCTAGGTGCCGCAGAACTGGGACTGTGCAGCGGGCTGACAGTACTATTGAGGGCATTCAGCAGAGTATTCTGTGCAACTGAGGAATTAATGGAGAGAGCATTTGGGCCCAAAAGACCTGGTGGGGAAAAAATACACAGATTTAAATGTAAGGACACATTTTTATTGTATAGTGACACTTTTTACTAAATACAGTGTGGACTGACACCAAGGATCTAACCATGAATGCTATATTGTATTCAAAAGGACTCCAAGTATTCCTCATAATTTTGCAGGACTTCTAATGGACACACAAAACTGTGGAACTTAACGATCACAGTACAATTATAAACCAGCCTGAAGGTGTTTATCGCTGAAATCATAAATTCGTTGATTTTTGTTTAATCGTCAATGAAACCTCCAGCCTGCATGTGTCCACTATGTCAGAGCTGACATAATAACCGCATGGTCAGGAACCATTCTGATTGGTTCTCAAGTCATGAGTTGGAACCCTGGATTTAAGCGATAGCCAGGATTGAGAGTGAGCAGCCACAAAGTGTCAGCTGCAGTGCTTATCTGTGGTGCCAATAGTGTAACGGTTATAACCATTTGCACTATAAAAAAATACAGTATATTCAAAATGGAAATCTTTATTAAGTAACAAATAAAAGCCTTTAAAAAGAATTTCTGGAAAGCAAATTATTCATATGAGGTTATTGCCAAGTTAACCAACATATACTGTCACTGATAAGTTTGGCTTGGGCATCTAGCCATCAATGACCTCTGGTCACAAAATCGTTGACTTAAAATAGTTTTTTTGGCTTATTTTTGGAATGATTTGGTAAGATATGCTGAGTGACCTTAAGTCAATCATCTGCTGGCTCCTAGTTGGTAATTTCATATGCAATATTTTTTTTTACCTAACCAAAAAACAATTTTAGCCCTGAACATAGGTTAACAGAAAACAAACAAAACACCATACATTGCTTTTAAAAGGCACATAGTTTTGTGTGCTACCCTGTAAATCTGGTACCGCACAGTACCACGAAATGGAAACACTAATGTGCACTATCTGTAGAAAATATATCAAGACAACTGGGCTTGCTGTATTTTTCTTGAAGACGTTTTGCTGGCCATTCAACTAGCTTGCTGAATTTCTCCGAATTGAGAAAGCTAGTCGGATGACCAGCGAATCATATTCCAAGAAAAATATAGCAAGTCCAGTTGCCTTGATTTATTTTCTACAGATATACGATGACCTGGTTTGAATGAGAACCTTCACAGACACTATGGGCTCTGTTTAAAAGGCATAACTTACCTAATCCAGTAAGCCCCAAACCTGCTGTCAAGATATCTAGTCCATGGTAAGGCATTGTGCAAGATATGGTAGACTGGCTTGTAATGGCCACACCACTGCTATCAAGCCCAAGAAGACATTTTCTGGCTTCATACATATTTAGGGCGTTTCGTTCCACACTTTTCACGATCACAGACTGCAAAAAACAAATGCAAGAAAAATTACCAGACCAATGGTGAAAATAGAGTTTGGTTCAGTTAACCGCTCGCTTAGTCTTGTAAGGCCTATTGAGGGGGAACAGGGAAGGCCCCCAAATGTAATTGGTTACTTGCAATTACCATTGTGACTAATAAAAACAAAACAGGCGTCTCATTCACATCTGTTGTGTTCTCTTATCTACTCTGTTTTTATGAACATTATTCTGACTTATCAGGGTCCACTGGTTTACAGAGCGCTGCCTTAAAGGTAAATTCCAGCCTTTGGGGGGGGGAAAGCAGACTTGCTAATAAAAGAAAAAAAATGTGCATTTATATATACTTTTTTGCATAGGAGCCAGTAAAGCATTGCAACCGTGATAAGTAGATTGTGGGTGCAACACTCTGGCTCCTGCAGACCCTTCCTCCTGTCCATGTACAGACATTCAGTAACATGGACAGGAGGAAGGGCCAATGGACTGCAAATGTGGTGACATCACCGCACATGTATTCCATTGAGAACTACATGTCTCTCCCACGGTGGCTGATAGAACTTGTAGTTTAACCATTCACAGATCTCGTCAGAGGATCTGTGAATGGATGAGACGGCAATATACATCGTGCCACGCACAGCCTCACCAAATTCAAACTTGTAAACAAGCCTGCAGGGAGAAGTTGTATTAGGGGGTTGGAATCTGACCCTGAAACATGGTCAGAAAGGTACACTTTAAACTGCAATACCTATATATACTGGAGTTCGACACTCCACCAACACTAGTCCATGTCAATTTCCTATAACAGGACTGTCCATGGTCCCCGCTATCAGTTCCATGTCTGAGATAATTTGTCAAAATGAGCCTCAGTTATCAGCATGCCTATACAGGAAACCTAAGCGTCTAGTGACATGCTGTGACATTCTTCAATAAACATATCAAAGAGATTTTGATTTCGGAACTTCTGTGTGTGTGCACGCTGGTGACCTACTGAGATTACTCTGAGTTCTACACGCGTCATCCGTGTGATCACCATGAGCACCACCAACAGTGAAAGGTTACAGACCATAAGGAGTGCAGGTGGTTCTTGGAAACAATTATACAGGAAACATGGTCATGGGAAAAATACAGCAGCCTCCAATGTGAAGCTCCTGAAAATGCTTGTTGCCCATCCAGGTGCATGCTTGTTCTAGGACAGTGACCAAACATACATTTTCAAAAAGGTGAGAAATGGCAGCTTACATATTTCTATCAAGACAGGTGAACTTTAACAGATATATCAACGGTAACCCTCAAAATTGGAGATATCCAGGATGAAGCAACAACAATTTTGCCAAAATATATTTCGTAGATCGTATTGAGGGTTGGCTGTTTTCCGCATACTAAGTGCCTTCTTTGTGATTAGTCTGCACTTTAACAGAACTGCACCACCACAATTAGCATCATTATTGGGTTTTTTTCTAATGAAAGCCTCCCACACACTAGGGAGTATCACACAGATCTTTGTAGTGATGCCATCCAGATAGGTACAAAAAAGCATTAAAGTTAGTATCATACCACCACTACCCAAAACTACATTGTGACTGGTTCAGTAGTCACATTATGCGTTATTATAATTTAAATGTATTTTGAGTGGTATAAAAACCTATTATAGCAAATCATATTGTGCTCTGTCACTTGCTTTCGAATGGTTAGCTGGATAGCTTTCTTTAACATGCAAAACAAAAATTACTTTCAGACTTGATTTGTGTGGAAACTTACTTTACTTGGCTGCTTTGGCTTTGGTTTAATGCTGATAAAGACATCTAGTTGTTCCATGAGTTGAGTAATGTACTGTGGTTCTACTTCAATTTCTTCCTTCATGTCAAACATCAGGACAAGTGGGAGACAACCCTGTGAGAAAAGCCCAAAGGTAACATGATATATCACAATATGGCTCTACTTCATCACTTAATCATGCTTAATAAAGTGCAAGCTCTAAATAAAATGTTAAAATACAGAGTGTGTTTTACGGTACTATTATTACTATGCCATCACTGATCATTGTAATATGATGCTTCATTCTAAACCTAGTTTACTGGTAAAACAGACTTTGGATGAGATTGGTAGCGTATGAAATATGCAGGCTGCCATTGATGAGTTCATTATGACACAATTGGTTTGCTTGGCTGTCCCGCAGATTCTATCGGTATTTCCAATAATTTCTGCAAAACAGATTCAGGGGCAAGTCTGAAGATCAGGCACTCTGATCTTTTCTCTGACTTTTCTAGCTGCAGGCTTGTTCCAGGTCAGTGGCCAGCCAGACCACTAGCATTTTCAGAAACGCATTAGCAATAGCAGCATCCATATTCACTTGTTAAGCCCTAAAACTGCATTCAAGTACCTTAACTATTAACAAAAAAATTACCTTATTTGTGCATCAATTAGCTGTGGAGCATCAAATCATCTCTGGATTCATGCTGACACTGTCCTTCCTTCTGGAGGGTGACTACTTTTGTTCTCCATGGTCCCTGTGTGTGTTGTAAAGTAGCCACCGTTTCAAGCTCACACCCGTGATGGACTACAATCTCAGGTTTAGTTTAATAATTTGTATAGAGATTGTGGTCTATCACAGGAGCGTGCTTGGAGCGGTGGCTAATTTACAACGCACACAGGGACCATGGGGAACAAAAGTAGCCACCCTCCAGAAGGAAGGACAGTGTGCGCACCAATTCAGAGATGACTGGATAATCTACAGCCGAGTGATACACAAATAATAGTTAAGGTACTTGATTGCATTTTCAAGATTGAACTCCTGAGTTTAGTGTCACTTTAAGTGACATTTAAATATACAGAAGAGTGAAAAAAAATGCTGTTGAAATCACCAAACACTGGTATGGGTTACTGTGCTTTGTACACTACTCTTTGCAGTGGGTAGCAGTAGATTTCAGGACGCAGGCTTAAAACATTGATAAAAAAAAAAAAGAAAAAGTGGCTACATAGTTGTTTGGGAGTGCCATCTGGTGGAACAACAATATATAGCACAAGACTTAGTTATAAAATTCCACATCCATAGGGATACCCGAGCAGGAATGCCCCACTACATTCCTATAAAATCTCCTGTAGTAAACAGCCACAGTGGCAGAAAAGCAAGACACTGATAATGATTATTAATTTGTTAAATAAGTGAACAGAGATCTTATTACATTATTAGTGCCTGGAATTAGAGAAGTACTAAAGGTTGTTTTTTTTTTACATGAATGCATTCTCTGCATTAAGGCAAAAAACACCCAGCACTTTCCTAACACCCCTGTCCCTCCAACACTCACCTGCAGCCGCTTGTATCCTCCGCCGCGACCTGAAAGATACTTCCTGGTTGTGAGGGACGGTACTAAGGGCAGAGGAGCCATAGGCAGCTTCTGCCATCAGTCAAGCTGTGACTGCAAGGGTGGGGGGCGTGGCTGGCCGCACGCTGTGCGTCTCTATGGACGCACACATGTAGGTGCAGGCATGGCCGCGACCGTGCAGGTACGGTTGCCTGCACAGCAGTCAGCTAGCTGAAAGAGGCACCCGTACTATAGGGCTCGCGGTCTGGATGCCACTTGAGAACAAGGACATTACATAATAAAAAGAACAGTTCTATAGTAAGTCTGGCCCCAATAAAACAAATTTTAAAAAACCCCAAAGGTTTAATGTCACTTTAACACCTCACTCTAATTTTACACCAGCTTGAATGTTTAATTCAGAAAGTAGAGCACTCAGCATCAGTTTCTGCATTGTTTTGTAGTCCTGTGGTGGCAGCAGAGCGGATGCTGTTAGTTTTTAGAGGGTTAATATCCACTCTAGAACAAAAATACAAAGCAGAGTTCTCGTTGCAAAATTATTTTTGTCTCAACCAGTTGTGCAGACTGGGCGTTCTACAGACGGCCAAAATAAATTTTATCGCAGTACACAGGGTGTGTGTAGTACTGCCCTATGCTTCTACCCTGCTGCCAACCCTCTCATCCACCCAAACACCCACTATTTTTTTTTTAAATTAACATTAAAGAACAAAAAAAAGCATTTTTAGTTGTTTAGTTGTGTCCCTATTGTCTAGGGATTACATAAAAAAAACAAAAAAAAAACAATTTTTCAAGACATCACGAGAAGAAAACCTATTTTATTTTTTTTACAGCAAAGATATATATTACTTCATTGTCTGAAGTAATGGCAAAAGTTACTGCCGAATAAACAGGCCCATGGAAATGTAAAAATTACTTTGGTCCATGGGTAGACGTCTGGTGTAGAGGTGTGAGAGCTGAAGTGGTTAAGTTGTCATAGTTTTAAGACACAATTTTTTATACTCAGGAGCGGGTTGCATGACACAACATAACCCCTCTTAAAATACATACCATGAGATACTGCCTGGCAAGACAAACTGACTCGATGGTGCCTTGGAGGTAGACTGTGGACTTCTTTAAAGGGTTATTTGGGTCTGGGAAGTGGATCTGAGCACCAGTTCTCTGCATTATATGCTTGATGTTGCTGCCATTGCGGCCCATCATGAAGAGGTGATGTTGAGCAGCAATATCCAGCTGTGTGCTAACAGGAATAGCATTTGCCAGGCTACCAGCAAGATGTTCCAACAGCAGTGCTGTTCCTTCCTATTAAAAACATAAAAGAAATGATTAGTCCATTATGCTTCTGTTTAGACCAGAGATAATATACAATAAGTACTTCAGAGTTACTGTACAAGATTTTTTTTATTTTGCTACTTTATATTCTCCTTTTAGAAAAATTCAAAAAAATAAAGTGGGCACACTTGCCTGTTTCCGATGTACTGCCATTATTTCTATGCATATGCTAGCTTACCTGGATACTATTTTTATGGATAGCAGAGACTTGGGTATAGGAGATGCAAAGGGAATTAATAAATACAGGAGGTGGGGAAGTTATTCTTGGGGTTCCCAGACCGTATTATATCTGCTCTTACACCTTACCTACCAGTCATATAATCAAAGCACACTTCACTAGTACAAAAAATAGTAGTGTGTATCTCTTTCCTTCACTTCCCTTATCTGCCGTTTGAGACTTTTTCAGGTGCATGAGAATTAGAAAAGAAAGTTACACTGTACCCAATTTTAATTACTAGCAACTCAAGGGCTGAATTGTGTTATCCTTTAAGACACATGGGTTCCTTGGTTTGAATTTTGCATGAGGGTCCTGAGGCTTTTAGTTAAACCCCACTCCATCCAGCACCCCCAAGTACAAACATGCTATCTGCATCCTGAAGCACTAGCGACTACACTCCTGTACACTGCAGCCCCAGCCACCTATCAAACTCCATTCCTTCCAGGTAATCCCATTGAACTGTCCTCCAAGTCTCTTATATAGATACTATATTCCTATCGGCTTTTCTTTGGTGTTACCAATTATTCTGCCCACTCTGTTCATATATGTTTTCCTTACACTAGAGCAGGCAATAACCCCTTAAAGCAGTGTTTCTCAACCTGTGTAACCTCAGGTACCAACATTTGTCCTTGGTCATTAAGTCGCGACCCAAGTTGTACTGCAATGCAATGCACAGCATTAGGGTACTGCACGTTCCGATGCAGGTGATGGAACTGTGGTTGGGAGGTGGGTTTGGGGTACCATTCAAATGAATGGCAATGCAACACACCTTCCACACCAGAATGCACGGTAGGTGCGATTGCATGGTACAGTGCATTAAATCACACGGGACTGTGTGATTAACGCACTGTACTAGTGTGAACAGGCCCTCAAAAACACAGACACAACCACAGACAGTCTCACACACAAAACATACACACTCCAAAAAAACATTTTTTCTCTTTTAAGATCCACCCAGTCTCCCTACTTCACGAGACCTGGAGTGGATCCTCACCCTGGGGTCCAGTGTGGGCTGCTGTGCTGCAATGGAGCTCCATCCATATGTGCATTGCTTGTGCAGCTCCCTTGGGCACAAGAGGTTGCGGGAGCCAGAATGTGACGTCACTCCAGTCCAGGTTCCTCTACAGGGCACGTGAGGGAGCTGTAAGCAATGCACGTATGGTTGGAGCTCCCTCACAGCAATAGCTCTAGCCCACCCCACCTCAAGCTGACACTCGGCACCGGTAAGCATATTTTGAATGGCTGCTTGGTGCAAGAACTGACAGTGTTGCGCTGGGGGGGGG